CCGAGTTACGATCATATCTCACCCGATCATCTCGTACCTCGACGACTCGATCCGAGTCAGCGAGTTACGGCTCGAGTTACGACCGTACCTCGCCCAATAAAGCCGTAACTCAGGCTTTGTCTATTAATGGCGAGGTACGCCCGTCTCTCCGCACCAGAAACAAAACCCACCTTCGTCGCAGAGCTCCGCGCCGCCGAATCTTCTAGCCCATTTTCCGAACGCTCCTGACCTCCGATCGAGGCACCATTTGCGGCGTTGGTTTGCTCTCATCGAGGCGCACCGATCGAAACCCCCCATCCCCGTTGCTGAAGTTTCGTCCACATCAGAAATTGCCTCCGGCGACGCTCTGGCGGGTCTCTTCCGTGTTATAGTCTGCCTAGCATTCTCCCGCCTCTTTTCCTCGCTCTACTTTCCTTCTTGTGTCTCCAGGTTGGTCTTTTTGCCCTTAAATGTGTTTTTGGAGAATTGGATTGTAGAGTGTAGGTTCGATTTAACCAATTTTGCATATTTAGATTTTTTGGCGGGAGAATGGATGCATGTGTGGTGTGCTTGGAAATGTTAGAACCTAAATGCTTGCCTATTCTGCGGTAGTTCTACTACAACTTAGTGGTTTGTGCTTAAGTGTGTGGGGGGGGGGGGGGGAACCGCTGGACCAGTGGATCCAATTTCTCCAATTATTTTGGTTACTAACGGGCTTCGAGGTTGTGGACCTTGTGGTTGTTTATTTTGCAGGAAAATGGTCAATCTGGATCATGACTTTCTGCAAGGCCTCCAGTACACCGAGGCCTACGACGCGGTGTTCACCAAGATGAGGGTGGCCGAGATTGGGAGCAACTACACTCTCGATCTCACCTACTTCGACCAGTTCCTGTGTCGCGACTCTATCGCGGCGGCCATCCTACACCTTTAGTGGCGCCGCCTGCTGGAGCTCTAGGACGACATCTACAAGGAGCTCACCCTGGAGTTCTACAATACCTTCACTCATACTCGAAGGAAGCTCGCCTATCATGAGGGCGCCGTTAGCTTTAGGCTTGGGGGTCACCACCACAGTCTGAGCTACCACGAGTTTAGCACCGCCCTAGGCCTGGACTCCATCCACATGCGGGAGGTCGAGCCAACCTTTCCTCACGCCGAATACCAGGGGTTCTACGAGCGAATCTGCCTGCACCAGCACGCCATCATCCCCTACGCCCATAGCCGGACCAGAGCCACCCAGCTGCAGGCACCATGGAGCTTTATTCAGGCACTGATGGCTCACTCTGTCATCCCCAGTCATGAGGCATCTGAGTAGGTGACGAAGCGCCACATGTACGCGCTCATCTCCATGAGCTCTGATGATGGCCTCAACCTGGGGTCCGTTCTAGCAATCTCATTCTCCCGGGTGAGGAACCACTCGAAGGTCACCACACTGCACGATGCTGCTTTCATCACTCAGCTCGTCCGGTTCTCTGGGGTGCCACTAGATGACTGCACCCTTATTGGGCGTGCCAGAGCCTTCCCCGACGAGACTTTCAGCTATATGGGCCTGATTCAGGTCGCGAGGACCGACCCACGGATCCGATGGATCAAGGGCTTGCGTCTTGCTGAGTTATATGCGGCGGTGGCAGGCCGCCCCCACCTCCACCCGTCCAGGTCCCACTGCAGTTCTTTCTAGGTGATCCTGGAGCCGCGTCCTCTTCAGCTGCACCAGCTGGCAGCCTCTGGGCCACCATGGAGGCTCATTTTGATCGAATCAAGGCGCGCCTCGATCGTGAGCGTGGCGGCAGGCGCTACTCCCACTTCCTGCTGGAGCGACTGTGTGCAGAGGCGGATGTGGACATTACCCAGACCTTCTGGCATCCTTCCCATCCTCAGGACGACGATGATGATGAGGATTGAGCCAGTCTAGATCACGGCTCCATGTTCCATGTTTCTTGTGTTTTGAGTCGAACTGGATGTGTTGTGTCTTGTTTATTGTGTCCCATGGGGCTGACACTGATCTTCCTAACTCTTACCCCAGTATGAGTGTTGTGTTGCCTTTCGTTGTTTCTCAGAATCTGGTCCATTTCCAGTCTGCCCCTGTCGACTGGTCCCACTTCCAGTCCCACTGCAGCCCGTTATTCATGGTAACATCGTTCCCCTTATCCTTCCCTCTTCTCCATTGAGGGCAATGTCGCATTCAAGTGTGTGGGCGGTGGGGGGTGTGTATCTTTGGCTGCCTGTTATGTTTGTGTGCTTGGAGCCTAGTCCACTGTCCAAATTTTACGATGTGAGGGCTCCAACTACTTTTCCATGCAATAACCTGCTTAGTATGCTTTGAATCGATAGTCTTTTTGGTTACGTGCAATCTAGGGAGGTAGTGTAGAACTATGGAAGACGTTGAAGTATAAGATTTTCCCTATCTGTCTCCTTGCTGTGCTGGTTGATTTTGTGAACTAGTGGATCTAGGACCCTTGATTCATGTGGTATGGACGACTCCCCCTATGTTGTGTTGTGGACTCGTGTATTGTAGATGGTGCTCAATTGAATGGAAAAATAGTTGGTCCTCCATGTCGAAAAAATTGGAAATTTGAAACATGGGGCAAGTCTAATGTGTGTGGTACCATTCATTGCACAAAATCGGGTATTGGAAGAGATTTTAGTGATCCTTAGTGGGGTAAGCCTACAAGGTGAAGCTAAGCCGTCTCTAGTACAAGTAAATATTCCACCCGTTGAACGGTTTGCCTACTCGAGGATGTGTTTTTAAGGGCACGGATAAAGCTTCCGACCCCCCTTAATTTCATTAACCCTCCACAGGAGTCGAGGAAAAGGAGTTAAAAGAAGTACTCTGGCGAGTGACAGATGTACAGCAATTGCTCTTGCTCGATCAATGAGGATCGACCGCGCATAAAACTGCAGTTTGGAACCCTAGCAAAGTGTGAATGAGAAAAACTAAAGAAAATGAAAGTATGAAAAAGGGGTTCCAACGAATGAAATGGAATGGAACAACACCTGATATGAAGAGTCCTTGGTTGTTAAATTTGTGAGTCTTTTTATCAAGGAATTGACTGTCCTAGTTCCATTGTTTCTCATGATCCTGGTTGGAGTCTAGTACTCGCTTCGAGAGAGATAGGGGACGTCTTAGAAGACCAGTTGACCTCATAAGTTGCTATTTGAACTAGAAAAAGATATATTAATTTATGAGAAATACTCTCTCCTACCTCCTATGTTTTATGTCCCTCCTTGCTCCTTGTGCTACTACCGCCACCGCCTTGTTTCCTTCCTCTCTCCTTCCTGCCTTCCATTCATGCTCTCTGTTCCCTCTTTCTCTTGTCTCCAGGAAGGGAAAACAAAAGGGTTCAATAAAGCAAAAGGCAGCAAGCAAGTAGCTTAATAAGTAGCTTTGTGGCAGAAGGAAGCAAAAGCTGAAAGAAAAAAAGAAAGAGAGAGAAGGAAAAGTGGGAAAGTGTTCTTCTTGATCAAGGAGCCTCTTTTATTCATACCCATCTCCCCAAGTTTCTGCCTTTTCACATTTGTTTCTCTTCCTGGGGTCTCTCTACTCTTTCTTCTCTGCTTATCTCACTTCTGAAGCCAAACCCTTCAAAACTGCCCACTCTCTTTGTTCCTTTGCTTTTCCTATACTCTCTCTCTTCTTTCTTTACATTCTTTGGCCTCTCAGCTGAAAGAGTGAAGCTTAATTGTGTTTACCGACGATCAAGGTTGCATTTTACTATAGAGGTCTGGAGAGCAGCATTGGTTTGAGTCAGGTTTGCTTGGGGACAAGCAAACGGTTAAGTGTGGGGGAATTTGATAACGCCATATTTGAACATGTTTTCCCCGTCATTTCTTGACCGTTTGAGCTTTGTTTCTCGCTCTCGTGGCCTGTTTTACGCTTGTGCGTGTTAGTTTATGATGTTTCATGACTTAGTAAATGAATCAGCGCGATGGAGCGAGGTTTCAGGATGTTTTGGAGCGAAGGACTGCGAGCACCTGGAAGTTATGGCCAGACCTTATGAGTTACGGTCTGGCCCGTAACTTCCCGTGAGGGGCTGTAACTGGCGAGTGAGGAGGACTTGAGTTCCAGAAGACTTTCTGGAGTTACGGGCTGACCTACGAAGTTACGGTCTAGGTCGTAACTCAGCCCTTGCACCCGTAACTCTTGGAAGGCAAAATCAACAGTTTCAGAGACGTTTTTCAAGTTACGGTCTCTGACTCGCTACGACACAACACCTAACAATGGCCAAGTGTAACCAATGAAAGGGACTGCAGTATAGTGGCACAAGTAATAAATATCGAATCCACGGGTCTCTAGAGTTACTATTACTCAGCTTCAGTTCATTATCTAGCAAACTAGATTAGGGATTGATTTAACTAAACTACTCTACTAACTAAACTAAGTAAAACTACTAATTACAGTTTGTGAACTCACTTAGGTATGATTCCCCCTAGCTCCTCAATTAGGTCCAAGTTGTAATTCCTTTTGGTTGTTTTACTGTTGATTAAACTGCGGAAGATCCGACAGTAGCTTGGAATCTCTTAAGCTGACCAAGCCCTCTCAGTCTAACTATCCGGCAAACGACTAGTCTTCACCGGGATAGAAAGCTGAGGCTATGAACACAGAACTCCAATACTGGAATTGAATTCCAGTACAAAGCAGTAATCTGGCTAACTCTCGTATAGCCAATCTCCTACTATCGAATGATGAGACTCTAGCAACCTAATCAGATTCTATCTATCTCAGATTGCAGCAGGAATCAGGAAAAGTTGATCAGACTTCAATTGACTCAATAAACATGCATCATTCGATTAAAATCAAACAATATAGCATCCAAAACTTCATACAAGAAAAATTCTAACTCATGGAACTAAGGTTCCTCAAAACCTAAGTGAAGGGAAGTTACTCCATAGAGAAGAGAGAGACTGCAGAAATCTGATCTAGATCTTCAATCTCCATCTCCAAGCTTGATTCCCGAGCTCCAATGGCGAAGAAATCCTCCAAAATAGCTCCAAGAATGTTCCCAAGTCGCTCTCTCCCTCTAGGGTTCGTCCCTTGGGTGTTTGGGATCCAAAACCCAGCTCTCCCCTTTCCTTTGGCTGAAAATCGGGTTTTAAACAGCAATTCCCGACTCACACGGGCAGGCCGCACGGCCGTGCAGCTCACCCAGTTGCCCGTGCGAAGGCTCGGTGATTTCCGCACGGCCAGGGTCGCACGGCCGTGCATCTCACCTTGCACGGCCGTGCAGCTCACCTTGCACGGCCATGTGGATTTTCTGCTCTGCCCGTGTGGCTTGCTCAGCCTCTGTTTAATGCTTCGTTTCTCCCTCGTCCGGACTCCGAATCAGTCGCCGTTTGATCCCAGACACTCGTAGTCTCGTCCTCTTTCGTTTCATAACAAGATTGCATGATTCTTTGTCCATAAAGTGAGGTATAAATCCATTCTTCTTCAGGTCATGCCCGAGTTTCTTCTCTCGAATCGTCAATTGATCTCTGATTGACTTGAAACTTGCGCCTATGCTTCACTTTATGTGCTAGGACCTGAAATGGGATAAAGGAACACAACCTAGCATAAAATAGGCCAAAGACGCAATAATTCAAGCTCAAACAATCAAGAAACAAAGGGGAAAACATGTGCAAATACCGAGTCATCAAATCCCCCCACACTTAACTGTTTGCTTGTCCCCAAGAAAACCTAACTCAAACCAATGCAACTCTCCAGACCTCTATAGCAACAAACACCCCAGATCGTAGGTAGAGGACTTCCTAGATCATTTAGCAACTTACGAGGTCAACCGACACACAAGTCATCTCATAGCTTCTTCGGCGAGAGCACTAGTATCGAGTCGGCATCATGGCAAATAGTGAACAGAGGACAAATGAATTGTGGATGAAGAGATTCTCAAAAACAAAAGATCATGGACTCACATTTTTCAAGGTGCTCTACTTTCTTCTTGAAGATGGTTGGAACCCCTTTTCTTTTCTGTTTTGCTTGTTTTCTGTTATTTTTTTATTTTTTTCAAGGGTCCCAACCTGCTCTTACCGGCCATGCCAGGAGCGGATGTCTCGAGCCTCGTGCGGGGGAAAGACATGTAAGGGGGCTGGAGGTAGTAGATGGAAATTGGGAACGAATTCCCGTCTCCCCTTACACACTTTCGCCCTATTCGCACGGGAGACGTTATTTTGAAGCACATTTTCGAGCACCTGTTAAACTCAAAACATGATACAAGAGTCCATGACAGGTAGAGAATCCACAACACCACACAATTCAAGGGTCCTAATATCACTAATTCACTCAATCAACCAACACAATATGAAGAAGCAATGAGACTTCTTAAATGCATCAACATCCTCCATAGTGCTACACTACCTCCCTAGGTTGCATATTACTATAAAGACTATCAATTCAAAGCATACTGAGCAGGTAATTGCAAGGAACACGTACTTGGAGCCCTCAAATTTCAAAATTTGGACAGTGGACTAGGCTCCAAGCACACAAACAGCCAAACATTCACCCGCATAAATAATTGAACATCCCCCCACACTTAAGCACGACATTGTCCTCAATGGAGGAAAGATAAGAAGGGCAGAACGAAGTTACCAGATCAAGGGTGAATGATGATGAACGGGTCATGCGGTGCATTCCAGGAAGAGAGAGTAATCAGAACGCAAACACCACACGAAATCTCACAAAGGTTGAGTTATTGACTCTAAAATCAAATAACAAAGCTGACTTAACCGAGGAGAAATAGAGAAAGAAATGCAAACCGAATGGTTGGGTTGCCTCCCAACAAGCGCTTCTTTCACGTCGTGAGCTGGACGATGGCTCCTAAGTTTCGGTCCATGCTAAAACCTCCTTGAAGTTGAGGTTCTCATCTATGAGGTGGAGTCTCAAGTCACAAGCAGGTGGTGTGGCAGGTGATGAAGGCTCGTGCACTTGATGCAGATGAAGTCTCCACCCTCGAGACCTCTTCTTCTCTTCTCTCGTCTCATTGCCCCAAACCAGATAAGACAACATCAATTGGCCACCATCGCGTCCACCAAGAGGGACCGATGTCGATGTGGCCTTGGTCTGGCAAAGAGACACTGCAAATGGGTCCTTGCCAAGCAGCTCCTCGAAGTTTGGTGGAGATATCACATGTAACTCATGGCCGGTGCAGGCCTCTTCCACCTTAACTCCGTCCTCAGCCTGGACGCCAATTGCCTCCACAACCCCCCCTTCCTTCTTCAAAATGTGGTCTCTCCCCTTGGAAAAGATCAAGAACTACCTCTTCTTTACTTTCTTCTTCATCCTCCACAACTTCCTTCCTCATCCTTGCTCGCTCTTCTTCTTCTAGAACAGATTGGAGAGCAAGTCGCCAGGCAATTTCTTCAATGGGACCAGCTTGCATCTCCTCGCACAGGCCCAGCATGTTAGAGCATAAATGAGGAACAGTGTGATCTGCAACCAGAGGACTTTCCTGATCATGATTATCATGGAAGTTCTCCGTGATAACTTCTGTATGCTCCTCAACGCCCCCGTTGCCCTTGTCATTCTCCACCTCTTCTAGCGTAGTAGCAAAAAGGTGATCTCGAGCAGGATGTGAGCAAACTTGCTTCACCCACTCTGTTTGCTTCGCTGAGCACTGAACAGTCTGCTCCATGTCATGGAGAAATGAGGGATCGGACGAGGCAAGGGCTTGGATTTGAAGATCCATCTTGGAGCATGCTCTCTCAGTGTCTCGAGCAAACTGCTCCACGAGAAGCCTCAATTCATAGTTTGGATCTGGCTGTGGAGTGTAGCACGGCTCTGCAGATTGGCCCGTGAAGGCCGCCATGGGTAACTCCAGCGCCGATGGCCCTTCTGGTTGTGGGAGAAATTCTTCTTGGTAATGAGGTTGTTCTTGATATGCCCAGGGGTCTGGTTGTTCTCCGTAGAAAGGGGGTTGGTACTGGAACCCGAATCCATAGTCTTCTCCTCCTTGATTGCTACAGGGAGTCTAGGGGTAATACCACTCGGATGGTGGTGGATACCCCCAATGATTGGAGAAGCCATGAGGATCCATGATTCAGATCTGCACCAACAAAAACAAAAACACCCAAGTGAAAAGCAAGGGTGGAAAACAAAAGAAAAACGCTAAAGTAACAAACTTCTGCCTTTCCTAATAATCTAGAAAGTCCCCGGCAACGGCGCCAAAAACTTGACTCGCTACGACACAACACCTAACAATGGCCAAGTGTAACCAATGAAAGGGACTGCAGTATAGTGGCACAAGTAATAAATATCGAATCCACGGGTCTCTAGAGTTACTATTACTCAGCTTCAGTTCATTATCTAGCAAACTAGATTAGGGATTGATTTAACTAAACTACTCTACTAACTAAACTAAGTAAAACTACTAATTACAGTTTGGGAACTCACTTAGGTATGATTCCCCCTAGCTCCTCAATTAGGTCCAAGTTGTAATTCCTTTTGGTTGTTTTACTGTTGATTAAACTGCGGAAGATCCGACAGTAGCTTGGAATCTCTTAAGCTGACCAAGCCCTCTCAGTCTAACTATCCGGCAAACGACTAGTCTTCACCGGGATAGAAAGCTGAGGCTATGAACACAGAACTCCACTACTGGAATTGAATTCCAGTACAAAGCAGTAAACTGGCTAACTCTCGTATAGCCAATCTCCTACTATCGAATGATGAGACTCTAGCAACCTAATCAGATTCTATCTATCTCAGATTGCAGCAGGAATCAGGAAAAGTTGATCAGACTTCAATTGACTCAATAAACATGCATCATTCGATTAAAATCAAACAATATAGCATCCAAAACTTCATACAAGAAAAATTCTAACTCATGGAACTAAGGTTCCTCAAAACCTAAGTGAAGGGAAGTTACTCCATAGAGAAGAGAGAGACTGCAGAAATCTGATCTAGATCTTCAATCTCCATCTCCAAGCTTGATTCCCGAGCTCCAATAGCGAAGAAATCCTCCAAAATAGCTCCAAGAATGTTCCCAAGTCGCTCTCTCCCTCTAGGGTTCGTCCCTTGGGTGTTTGGGATCCAAAACCCAGCTCTCCCCTTTCCTTTGGCTGAAAATCGGGTTTTAAACAGCAATTCCCGACTCACACGGGCAGGCCGCACGGCCGTGCAGCTCACCCAGTTGCCCGTGCGAAGGCTCGGTGATTTCCGCACGGCCAGGGTCGCACGGCCGTGCATCTCACCTTGCACGGCCGTGCAGCTCACCTTGCACGGCCATGTGGATTTTCTGCTCTGCCCGTGTGGCTTGCTCAGCCTCTGTTTAATGCTTCGTTTCTCCCTCGTCCGGACTCCGAATCAGTCGCCGTTTGATCCCAGACGCTCGTAGTCTCGTCCTCTTTCGTTTCATAACAAGCTTGCATGATTCTTTGTCCATAAAGTGAGGTATAAATCCATTCTTCTTCAGGTCATGCCCGAGTTTCTTCTCTCGAATCGTCAATTGATCTCTGATTGACTTAAACTTGCGCCTATGCTTCACTTTATGTGCTAGGACCTGAAATGGGACAAAGGAACACAACCTAGCATAAAATAGGCCAAAGACGCAATAATTCAAGCTCAAACAATCAAGAAACAAAGGGGAAAACATGTGCAAATACCGAGTCATCAGTCTCCCTCTTCCAGTTACGGTTGAGACCGTAACTCCCCAAAAAGAGCCGTAACTCTTGGTTTACGTAGTGCAACAACGACGTCGTTCTTACTCAAGTTACGGGCGGTCAAGGCAAGTTACGATCGTAACTCGCGGATTCTCAGTCTATTTAAAGGCTGCTCGGGAAATTTTTAGAGGAGCCGGATTTTTGGACTTCCAAAAGCAAAAAAAAGAACCCTAAAGAGAGTGACGAAGCAAAACCCAAGGGAAAAGGTTGGAGTGGTCTGAAGAATTCAGAGTTCGATTCCCCAACCCTGGAGTATCGATTATCCGCCAAGAGCAGTTGTCCATTGTCGTTCTGATGATGTCTACTCCGAGCATGACGATCTCACATCTCTCCATGGAGTAATTTTCTATTTCATCTGGGTATGAAGAACCCTAGTTGTGTATGTTAGGAATGATTGTATGAACCCCATGTTATGAATGATTGAGTTGATAAATTCAGTTGAGGAATTATTCAGAATTGCAAGAGTCCTGATCACACCTGTGTAATTTCGGCTTTAACCTAGAACGATAGTCTCTGCTTAGGTTAAAAGAGCAACCTTTAAATGAAATCGGTGAATCAACTGCTTTAGTCGAGATGTCAGTTCACTGCTCCTTACTGGAACAAAGGCCAATAGAGGAAGTTTCACGTGGTTAGCCTTGGTTAGTGTGTGTCAGTGGAGGTTAGTTGCCCGTCGGGTATTCGAATCAAGAGGGTCTGGATAACTTTAGTCGAGGGTCCAGACCAGTAAAGAACTTTCCACGGTTTATCTATCAATCTGAGTAATTTGGAGCTGTATAACCTGAACTAGCTGCACTCTAGCCGCCCGTCTCTAGTCCCTATTGCTTCTTCTTAGTCGGGGGAGTGAACCTCCTCTCCAATACTTGTTGTCTCTTCGTTGTGTGTGGATGATGATGATCTTGTGGTGCTTGTGATTTGTGATATCTAGTTGAGACTCGTTAATTGGGTCATGATGTTTGACTATTTGTTTTGTGCTTGAACTAACTGAAATGTGGATTATGAATTCACGACTAATAATGTTATTTCTTATAATTATTTTATGGTAACGATGTAGAATTGTAGTTGCATTATATTGGGTTATTTTGTTTGGTGATATCTCATTGATAAATTGGAAACCAATAGAAAGAACAGGAGAAAAGAGGGTGAAGATGTCGGTTCGGTTATCGATTCATTTAACTAAGTGAACCAAACCTTTAAACTATTTTATAGGCGATTATCAATTTGGTTGTTGACCGTCAAGCTCACCGCTGACCGAACTAATAATTAGTGGTTAATCAATAATGACTGTCAGTTCTATTATCAGTAACCTATATAAGGGACCCTACATGCAGTAGAGAGATTAATTTGTCATGTTGGCAGACAGGGTATTTTTGTGGTCGTTGTAGCTACACATGCTCAAGCTTTGGTCACTTGTGGTGAATCCCACCTGCTAAGGTGTGATTTTCCAATAGAATTTTTACTAGCTTTTACCCGACCCGTTGGTCGGATTAATTTCATTTAATTTGATATAATTTATGTTAATCAATTGATTCATATATTTAAATGATTCACTCTTTTAAATAACTTATATATAATTTGAAAGTAATTTTTGTGATGATTATTGTTTGAGACATTTCATATAATTAGTTTATAAATACTTTTTTGTACATAAGATCATCATAACATACAAATTTATATATACTGTTCATATTTAAGAAGAGAATTTTTCCACTTTTTATTGTCCACATAAATAACTTAAGAATGATTTTTTGATGAAATTCAGTATTATTAACATATTAAACTTACCTGGCAAGCACAAAAAATAGGCAGCAAACGCTGAAAACCTATGGAACATGCCAAATTTCTAGCTACTGAAAGCAAGTTTTGGATTATTGTTTGCAACTTTCAAGTTCTTTGACCATTTAACCTTGTTAATTGTTCATAAGGAGAAGTTGTAACACACTTTGGTTGAAATCATAACTAACCAAGACCAAACTTATATATAACAGGATGGTAAAAAAGAATATGGGAAATTCCAAAGAATTAAGCACCCTGCTAAGTCTGACTGCCTAAGAGATTGATAGAGTAGGAAGTGCTAGAAGCACTTTTAATTTTCTGAAATGGTGACATTTATTCAATCTAATATGTTGAAGGCTTTAATTACAAACTAAAGACACCCTTTAAGTTGGGGCCAAAACAGTAGAGCTCGATGGAAATAAGAAAGATTATGATTATATGATTATACATACTGCAAGCTCCCTTCTTTATGGACCAAAATAGTTGCTGTTTTCAGACATTTAAATGAGGCACCTGCAGAAAATTCTCTTGCTCAATCATCTGTATACAACCTTGTTTCTATACGGCTTTCATGGAAAAATCTGTTTACATAATACATGTATATGCCTGTAATCAGTACCATGCTTATCCAGATGGTCAAAGCTTCATTTCGGTTTCCAATCCACTTGAGTCCGTGTTACATCTCTGGTTCTTATTCCCAAGTGATGCAGCACCTTAGTTGTTTGCTGTTGGTCTGCACGATCTCTAATTCACCATGATATCAGAATCCTCATGTAAGCATTGAAAGTCTCCTTCATACTGCTGTAAGCAGGGCGCATCAATGACAGACCTTCTGCTTCGAGTTTGACGAACCCACCGACTGATCAACCACATAAATTCCTAGGGACCATGGCATAACATCTTACAACAAATCGCTAGTCGTCTACAAACACTGTAATCCAAAAACTCACAATGGACAAAATGAAACTATATGCAATTAAACAAAAGAGAACAAATCAAATTTAATACCCTAACTCTATAAGAATATAGAGCAACCCAGTAGGTAGAGGTCAAATTTCCATATGAAGAAAAAAGCTTTTGAACAATAAAAGTGAGATTGTGTGAAATAATGAAACCAGAATACGCAACATATAATAACTTCCTCAAACTCAATTGTTTGCGTTAGCCAGGTAACTTGTGAGAACTATGTTTTGCTACCAAACAAACACATTCCCCATGGTTCCAAAACAGACCAAATGTTCTAGAAAAATATCATCGAAAAAAAGAACTCAGTTTATTATTTGTTCTATATTCCATTCAAGTACCAAGAAGGACAAAGAGAAAAGATATTAAAGCGTAAACCAGGTTACCTAACAAACTTGTCCCTTTGACCAAGCAGGTACCAGGTCTTTACCCAATCTTACATCTTGGGAGCTGTATACATCACATGCAAGTTAGTAAGAAATAGATTTCGATTAACTCATGACCCAAAATTGTGGATTCTATCCTCCTTTCTTATCCCAATTTCACATCCAAACTTTAAAGTGGTTGATACTATCATGTCTAGTGCCGGCGCAAAGCATATAACCAACAACTTCACTATAAAGCCAAACACACATTACTTGAGAAAATTTGAGCTGAAAACAAAGCTATTCAGCAAACATATCTACATGACATAAATAACTAACTGCAGGTTTTATCTAAACACAATCCGCCCTAGATAAGTTTGACTCCTATGATCGTGTTTTTGGGATTCCTTACCAAAATGTGCTCGCACTACCATTTCTTCAAAACACCACAGCGAATCGCAGCACTACCAGTCATGCATATTCTCTTTCTAATTTCGACTTCAGTACATGTTTAGAGCAAAATTTTAGTATCAAGGATTCTCCTGTTGGAATAATTAACACCGAAAGGCTTGTAATTGCATATTCCTAACTAAGTCTTTGAAAATAATTACGTGGACAATGAACGAAGGTGAAAGAACCAAAATCAAAACTTGTGCAGGGAGGAACAAATACCCGGGAATTGGTGGGTACGCATCCAGTCTAAGCGTTCAGCCTCAATTAACGCAAATGCATTCACCATATATTGTTGAAACAATTTACCAGATAATAACAGAGAATTCGACTCCTGGAGACGGGTTTGAAGACGATATGCATAGAAATCACACTGGGTTATCATTTTATCTCCAACACTGATATTACAGCTACTGTGACTATAGCTAATGCAGGGATGCCACCCATCCTCGCCATATGGGAATAAAATTGGATATTGTAATGCCATCAGACTTGGATGGTATACGCTAATCCTTTCCATTTCTGAACCCTTCTGTTGAACAATAATATCTGGAGAAAATGATTGCTCTCCTGTTTCATCTACAATCAATGCTGCAATCTCATTCGCAGAGGGCAAATCATATTCTCTACTATTAATTTCACGCTTAGCCAATAATTTCACGCAAATCATATCTCGCGCAGAACGAAATGTACGTACCAGGATATTATTGTCATCAAACATATGCTGGAGGCCTTCAACAATACACTGGCGCAACGGATTCTTGGCAGGATCAGTGGAGTAAAAGTCCATACGATTCTGCACCTCGTTATCTGAATCGTGAATGTAAAGCTGTGCAAATTTCGGACTATCCCCATCACCAGGAACCAAACATCCTATTCGATGATAAATCTGACCACCGATTGAATATACATAAACTCCACGACCATCATTAATAGAGTGATTGACTTTACCTCCGAGAGAAATAAAGCAAAAAACCCCATTATAGGCTCTGATGTTAGTACGAAAGTGACGCGCTAATGGTGTATCCCCTTCAAGTAGAGTTTTAAGAAATTCGGGCACATCTCTGCGGGGAGGCAATTTCACTTTACCATGTTTGCAACATAAAGGAAATGCAGGCAACACATCATTCCGTGTAGATAAAGTACTCTCGAACCGCCACATAACTGCTCCACAATGTTGACACGTACATGAAGGTGGACCAATATCAAAAAATTCAACCAACGGAAGACCTAGTGAAATAGATAAGTAATATTAATAAATTTTTGTCACAGTAATTCATAAATTGAATGAGTTTGAGAAACTGTGAAGCCGATTTAGGCGCGCTACAGTAAACACAATTATTAAAATAAATGTTCTCAAGGCAAGATAGATTGGTATACCGCTCATTTTAAGTAAGAATAAGTCAAATTTCAGGAAACACCAAAGTTTGTTCATAACACACAAATTTGCCGTTGACACATCAACATCTAAAAACAATCCACTATTTGCATAAGGTGACATGAAGCGTACATCACTAAATTATATGCATGACATAAATGGGTACATTATATGTTCTAAAACCAAAATAGGAAACAAAATATGTTGACCAGAACACAAAAACATATATCCAATGTACAAAAACTAAACCAAAATAGAGATGAACCATTTCATGTATAATAGTGGCCATTAGAATCCACATACTTTGATTGACTTCTGTAGGAAAGAAACTTCGGCCACGTCTCTTTCTATGCAGATGAATACGTCGAAGTAATCGACTTTGCTTTTGTAATAGAAATCTAAACTCCGGCTCCAAAACTATGAACAACACCAAAACACATACGATATTAAAGAAATAAATAAAGATTCAACAATCTAGAATAGCCTAATTTGTAAGACTTGCTACAAAATTTAGCAAACAACAACCTTGGTGTTCAAAAGGCAAGCCCCTCCTATGAACCTTCTGTTTCAAAATATGATGTCTTCTCTTACGGGCGACTTGGGATAGTATTCGCCGAAGTTGAGAGAGTTGGAATTGTAAGGCAGCTTCTTCTGCAGAATTTAAATATAAAACCATGTATTACTCATTGAATAGATGAACTAATTAGAAAAATTAAAACACAGATAACACACCTCTCTCAAATGCTTCTTCCTCTTCAGCAGATAAAACACAGCGTTGGTACTGATCTTCAGGATGAATAAACACTGCTCGACGTTTCCCTAAACAAATGAGATTCAAGGGAAAATATTAATGTCAGTTTGCATTGAAGCAGTTGCGTGCTAAACCATGACACTCACATGGTACAGACGATCGATAAATCTGTGGTTGGGCAGATGGGATGACATTTGCACTATCCATATTAAATTCTCCAATAACCTGATGCAATCTGAAATAGAGGTCGTGGTAAATGATGCACCCGTTCCAGTAAATTTTGCAGATGCCATTCATATAAATTAATTAATTGTTACAACAGAAGTTGAACTCCTCACCAATTATAAGTTTGTGCGAGTTAATGACACATACAACACATCACACAAACATAACAGTCGAAGAAAAATATAACTATATAAGGCATAATTTAAATTGATGAACAAAACACATATAACAGAATGGCTTCCAAGCTTGGGGATGCAAAGGAAGAGCGAGAAGGACAACAATGTAATGGCCAACACAAATATATGTTTATTTCACCGATTTTGAGCTGAGTGATCAAACTTGCAATTACTAAAACTCTTTAAAGCCTTCCCCTGTTCCCATTAGAGCGATCAGCCGAACTTGCAGACCTTCTTTTTTGGCCACTCGTCTCTATCAAGACTCAAAAAAGTGTTCGCGTTTCCCCTTTTCCAAGCCGATTCTCTTGGCACCACAATGTCCGATCACCTTCCCCAAGATCTCGTCACCAAAATTCTCGTCCGCCTGCCGCCGCCGAACGTCTCTTTCTTTCCTCTTCTTTCTCTGCGGCCCGGAAAAACTCAGCTCAAAATCGGCAGTCGGCTGCTCTCTGGAAGACAGTCTAAGCGAAGTGGAATTTAAAGTAAGCAGCTTTGTTACTTTCAAGAGAAAGGGAAAAATCAAAAATCCCCTTTTGATCTCTAGAGAATCCAATCAACAGAATGAAGCAAGGAAGGTAAGAGAGAATAAAGATAACGGAATGAAGGGAAAGAGTGGAAGGAAATGAAATCGAAAATAAAAAATACAAATTAAATGAGAACGTGGGCGTGGAAGGAGAAAAAAGTGGGTAGTGGAGAGTTTTTTGGTTCTGAAATCAGGCAAAAAAAAAAATGAGAACGTGGGCGTGGAAGGAGAAAAAAGTGGGTAGTGGAGAGTTTTTTGGTTCTGAAATCAGGCGGGACTCCTTTTTTTCCCGCTTAACACTCTGCCACATCAGCTTCCTAAAATCACTCTATGGGCAGGAAATTTTGAATGGGGGGTGCAGTTTTACTTTTCAGCTATAAATTATACTGTTGATTTATGGTCCTAACTTTAACCAACTTAAAAAGAAAGTTACCTATTGCACCTCTGTTTTTTTTAGTTAATAAATAATGGATTCAACAAAATTCTTGATTTGTGGAATTTAAATTGCCCAAATTCAAGGAAGAAATGACTTCTAAAGCAGTTCCTTCGAACTGATAAGCTGTGAGAATCTACCCAAAACACATCAAGCCTACTCCCATGTCTTACCTCTTGGATAGGGTAGGGATGATAACCGAACCTGTTTTCATTGGTACCCTAGTCGACCTTACTTTGTCAATGCGTCTAATATCGTTAGTCAACACGCCATGTCATTGCCTTATCAGCTTAAAAATCATTAAAAATTTTTAATTCAAATTATTTTCCTAATTTCCATTATTTATCATTTTCAAATTAACCAAAAATAAAATTTTAAAATAATTTGATAATTTTTAGTTAATTTATAAAATTTATCACTTTCAAATTACCCAAAAAATAAAATATATAATTTATTTCTAAATTTTTATAATTTTATTTTTTGGTTAATTTGATGATAAATAATAGAAATTAGGAAAACAATTTAAATTTGAATTTTTAATAATTTTTAGGCTGACAAGGCAATGACATGGCGAGTTGACTAACGGTCAACAATTGACAGTCAAAACATGTGTCGGGCCAATTGAGTCTATATGTTGCATAGTTGAGGTCAAGATGTTAATTTATGAAACCACGGGTCAAAGTTGATTATATGATCATAGTTCAGGGCAAAATAAAGTATTAACCCTATAAAATTCACAAACCGTGCATCAACGGACATTGCCACCTTGGTACCATCATGTAGCAATTGGATAGTGTATAGTAAACACTTCCTAAGTTCCTAGTTCCTATACGGATATACCCATATGGTATTTGCCCCGATAATTTAAATAATGGGAGCGGTTATGATGATTACTATAAACATGGTTACTAAGGACAAATTGAGTATGGACAAATAAATTGCATTAATTATTTTTTAATAAATTACAGTTTAGAAAGTTAAAAAAAACTTATTAATTACAATGCTTGTTCTCTTCTCTCACTTCCGTAATTTCCAAACAGATCTCACTTCCTTATTTTTCTCAATCTTTATGCAAAAAAATAAAATCAAGAAATCAATACCAATCAATAGACAACCAGTAACCACTACCACTGCGAAGGGGAGGGGCGGTGGGAGTGTGAGGGGAAGCCGGCGGGAGGTGGCGGGATTTCTCGTCGGAGAAAAATTGCGAAGAAGTTAGGCGGACGAGAGAGGGTGGTATTAGAGTTTGGTTATAATATATAGAAATTTATTTTTTAATAGATAATAATTAGGTGTGGTATTTTTTTATTTCCAAAATTACTCGTAATCAAATCTCTCCCGTCAATTTAAAAATATGGTGAAATAAAAATAATGATATAAAGAGTTTAGATTTTGGTAGCCACCATGATTACTCAAAATTGAGTAACCACAATATGTACTTCTTTGCATTCAAATGCACACCATAGGAGTTGTAGTAAAACCGTAATAAATCAAGCTCCTATGCAATTAATTGATCATTAATTATTGTCCCCTTTTCTTGGAAAGTGAGGTAGGACGAACATGACATTAATAGAATAGTAAATAGGTTGCCGAACGGCAATTAAGTTACCATTAACAATGTCAACGAGATAGCCAACGATATGAGAGCAACTAAGCATATATGTTACGGCCAACTACCTCCTCCTCCTAATGTGTTTGTACAATAGTATAGTTTTCCCAATGTCCATGGAACTTCTTTCATTTGGCGTCAATTTGCACAAACAATCACAAAAATACTCGAAATACTTAAACTTACAAAACTTGACTAACATGTAGATCGATTCAAACCCAATCTTTTATGACACATATCCATCATTCCACACACGAGTACCGACTTGGGTTTGAGTAATTTTTTTTAATGTTATCTGATAATATAATATCCAATGTTAATATTGAACAATCAAATGCCACTACGTAAGACATTTCTAAACTCAATGACAAACACTACATTAAAAGTTGAAAATTAAATAAGAAAGGACAATTTGCGTAATTGTCCTCGTAAATACCACCTATTAATTTCCATAGAATGGCTAATTAGTAATTTGGTTATCAACCACCAAACCGGACCCACGTTCCCTGCTCCCGCCACGTCTTTTTCCCCGCGAATTGTCTTTTTAACCTCCCGACGAAAACAGTTAATAACCGAAAGGGTAAAACGGGGATTCCCACCCCCACACCACCTACTAAAATTTCGCAGCCCATTAATAAAATTTGTACGACGAGGTTGGAAAAAGAAAAGGGGAAAAGGGAATTTCAATTAGTCATTACACCTTAATTAATTATTAAAAGGAAAATTATGAAACTAATTTGCCACGAAAGAAAGAAGAGAGAGAGAGATCCGAAATTTCTCATATAACTCGCATTTTGGCACTCTCCTGTTTCTTCTTCGTCATCTTCCTTCCTTCGCCCCTTGCTTTGCTTGCCTGCTTTACCTCCACTGTGACGAAAGCACGAGAGAGAGAAGAAAAGGAATTCATAGAGATTAGAAAAACAATAATAAAGGAAGACGAAGGAGAAGGAGAAGAAGGGAAAGGAAACCCAGAAAATCTGTCCCAGGAAAAGAGAGAGAGAATCTAAAATTCGGAACTGAGAATAGTTTTTGCTTTCGTATTGGTATAAATAAGAAGAAATCCTTTTTTCGTTCTTTCCCATTTTCCATCATCACTCTTCCTTCCTCCCCTTTCCTGTTTTCACATTGCTTTCACAAGGCTTCCGTTTCTTCTTTCCCTTCCCATCATCAGTTTTCCCCCACGAAATTCCTCCTGATCGCATCCTCGGATCGCTTTCTATCTCTCTTTCTGGTTGTGGGTCGAGGAATCACAGAATTCATTTTTTCTTATCTGGGTTTTGATCAGGAGAGGAAACGAAGCATAAGAGAAAGAAAGAAGCTAGCTTTTTTGTTGTTGTTGCTTTTGTGCGTAGTGTGGGTGAAGGACCGTTCTCGGTTGTTACTTACTCATGCCAGATACTAATACTAACAACAGTGGCAGCAATCACAAGCCGGTGAAAAGCAATGCTGGGTCTAATCAGTCCCCTGATAAGAACATTGAAGGTACTGTTCATGGGGGCAAAAAAAGAAGAAGAAAAAGGATCTCTTCTCATTTTCCCCAAAATTTCCCCTTCTGGGTTCTCAATTTCGCGTGTAATGTTGGTGATCGCGGAGGCAAATTGGCGATCGCCTGATTTTACGGTGTTCGGAGGGGTTTCGTTCGTTTTCTGTTTGTTTGTTTGTTTGTTTGGCTGTTTGGTGCTGGTGTTGTTTGTTCACTAATGCAATGCCAATTGGGATTGATCTGTTTGTTTGTGTTCTATGTTCGAAGAGTTGTTTTTGTTCTGGAGATGATCTGGAGACTGAATTTTTCTTGTGTGTGTGTATGTGTGGATATCAGAGGCGATTAGAAGGCTGAAGATTCATGATAATAATCAGGAGCAAGTTGGAGTGACTGAGACCGGGTCGTACCCGGATCGACCCGGCGAGCCTGATTGTGTGTATTACTTGAGGACCGGGGTTTGTGGCTATGGCAGTAATTGCCGCTATAACCACCCTCAGTATGCTGCTCAGGTCACAAAGGTTCGTACTTTTGATCACTGTGTGGTGTTCTTTTGGTAATACATGATTTCGAGAATTCCTCAGTATGACGTTCTGATGATGTTGTAACTCGAACTTTGTCCAGGCTTCGCAGTTCAGAGAGGAACTTCCTGAGCGAGCTGGAGAGCCTGACTGTGGGGTGAGTTCTCCATTTGGTAGAAAGCTTTGTTCTGATACTTTGTGATACATGTCATGATGGTGGATTGGAATGTCTAGAGACCAATGGTTTGATTATTTTACATCATTTTTGCAACTTGAAACTCTTTGATTTAGATTTATTTCTTATAATTGTGCATCCTTCAAAATAGGGGATCAAATGACCCAATTGAAGTCTTGGATGTGGATTAACAGAAAGCGATATAATGATTCTATTCTAGTACTCTTAAGTTTGTGAAAAGGAAACTTCTGTTTTGATCTTGTGCTTAGAAAGTCCAGAGATTAAGACATTTTCCTATTCCGGACTTGCATTCCATTTTCGGTTGGCAGCATGACTGAATGGATAAATAGAATGCAAATAGCTGTCAGTGTTCCTTTAATTGACCCAGAACTGCCATTGATACTTGATTTCAACTGTAACATATTTGGTAAGAAATTTGAACTTGTTGCATCCTTTTATTATAACAATCGCATTACTTATTCACCCAAGGACATCTTAAATGGAATTCTGGCACTAAAACAAAGAGAAATTTCAGGGACAGCAATGTTCATCACAGTAAAATGTATAACATTAACAATCTTGTCCAATAAAGTGGGGTGTTAACGAAAGCATTGAGATGGTCTGGATTTTGATTCCATTTATCTACTGGTAGTGAAAGTTGTATGGGCTTATTGGCAAATTTGGGTTGCAGTATTATCTTAAAACAGGCACTTGCAAGTATGGGTCGACATGTAAATACCATCACCCAAAGGACAGGAATGGTGCAGGACCAGTCTCTTACAACCTTCTTGGTCTTCCCATGAGACAGGTACTTAATTGAATGAATTTTCATACTTGAAAACTCGGAAGCTCACAAATTGATCGTTTTGTGCAGGATGAAAAGTCATGCCCTTACTATTTGCGAACTGGTTCATGCAAATTCGGAGGTGCATGCAAGTTTAATCATCCCCAACCTGCAGCATCACTTGAACCCGGGGTGCCTCTTGCTGGTGGCCTCTCTACCTATGGATCGACGACTGGCTCATCAATGATCCCGACTGCTGGTTTGCCTTACATTGGTGGGCTTCGGACATGGTCCTTTCCCAGAGCACCATACATGCCAAGCCCACGTCTGGAAACTCCACAGGCTTTTGCACCTCTATATATCTCTCCCTCCCAAGGAATCGCTCCTGCACAAGGCTGGAACACTTATGTGGTGAGTAGACATAGAGATTGTTCTTCTGTTTAATCCCTTCTTAACTATTGCTACATTAACTGTGTTAGATCCTGGTAAGTTCTATTGCATTCTGGTTGCACTCTCTAGATTTCTGATTGAAATCCCTAAGAGTTGATTCATAGACAAGTGCTATCATGGACATGGGTTGCCACCCATATAACTAGAAATTGATGCTGAAATCTTTGAGTTCTGCTTTCCATTGGCATTCCACTCTAGCTTATGCACCCTCAGGATATGCTTGGTTGGTGTGATAAGTTTGTAGTTGTCTACTTATAGTTAGTGGATATTCATCATAGAGTTACATGCATGGAACAGGGAGACGATCAGGTGACAAAGCCAATGGATTAAGATTATATGTGGGTATTTTTTGACTAGAACAACTCACCCTAACATCATTCTTCCACGTCCAATCCCCATCTTCGTTCCGTCTCTTTTGCTCTCTTCCGCCGCCAGACTGTCGCGAATATATTAGGGGTTCTGTAGTGATGTAGTATGGATTCAGTAGCGTTTATTAGGGATCTAGTAGGAATTCGGCAGGGATTTAGTAGGGATTCTGTAGGTCCTTTTTAAATTTTTTTCTTATTTCCTTACAAATCCATCTTTGAGAAGCTATTTCTGAAGAAAGTTTCAATCTTGACATACTAGAGGCCTTCCCTCCAGCAGTCTCACATGCTTGCAAGTGCCGGGTCTTTATATTCGCAATGCTTTTTTCTTTGACTTGTTTTTCTTCCCTCGACATGATACTCTCATTTGTTTGTCAGGGAAACTTGAGCCCAATGTCTTCTTCTCCAAGCATTCTGGGTTCAAACCTTGTATTCAACACCTCCAGGAATCATCAAGGTGAGTCTGGGGGTTCCAGTGGGCAACAAATGCATTTGATATACAACACACCACCTAGTTCTAATCTTCCTTCAAGACCTGATCAACCAGAATGCCGCCACTTCATGAACACTGGCACCTGCAAATATGGATCCGACTGCAAATACCATCACCCAAAGGACAGAACTGCTCAACTAGCAACCAATCCCGGCCCAATTGGCCTTCCCTCACGCCCCGTAAACATTCCTTTTTGCTCCGTTATCTGCGATGTTTTTGGTCTATCGATGTTTTTTTTTTTTGTAAATTCTGATCTTGGATTTTTGCAGGGCCAAGCTCTATGTTCCAACTACATTACCTATGGCTTCTGCAAGTTCGGTTCAAACTGCAGATTCGATCATCCGTTCACTACTGGATATCCTTACAGCTACAGCTTGACTGTTCCTCCATTTACAGTCCTCGATTCTTCCATGGTTACTTATCCGAGAATGTCACCTTCTGAACCACCTTCTCTGTCACCGTCACCGAATAAGGTCCTCAACAGCAATGGTGCTGCTAGAAACAACAAGCAACAATATCAGATGAATGCAGGTAATAATAAGAACACAATGACAACTACTACTCCAACTACTCCTCCATCGGATGATACTACTGACGTGGCTGGAGGTACTTCACCGCCACTGCACTCCTCGTCGAAGGCCTCTTCCGAGGTCTCACATGATTGATCGATTTTTGCCCTACAATGGAAGCCCTAGCTGTGTGCTTCCTTCCTTTTTTTATATGCCTCTTTTTCCCTTGGCTATTCCTTCCCTCTATTGAACAGAAAAACTCTTCAGTATATTTAAGAAACAAAGAGAATTTTTTGGGTCACATGTAAGACACTCCCTGCCCACTTTTTTGTTTTGGTTTTCACCTGTTGAATGCCAGAGATATAGGTTGATTTCAGTAATGCCTGAAAAGTTGGATGATGGTGAGGCAAGATAAACATTTTGAGGGGTGTATGTGCATGGAAGGCAAGACAATATTTAATTTTTCCTTTTCTTTTAATCTTGTGTAGTGAATAAAACTTGCAGGTGAAAGTGTTTTTTGCCTTTGCTGAATTGGCTTAGTGGCAACTGCTACTCCACTCTTTTTGTTTACTTCATGAACAAGGGAAGTGGATGCGTGTGTTGCAAGTAAAGTGGACTCATTGAGAAATGTGTGATGTGATTCTAAGTTACACATACAATAGATGCATCCATCCAATGCCAATGAACTGATAGCTAAGTTCGATAATCCAAGCCAGCAGTTGCTTGCGTGCTACCAATTTTAAGACGGTAAAGTCTTATTATATACTCAATGAACTAATGAAGGATGTGACTCAAGAATATACCTTTTGGTTCATTCGTTGCTTCTGTTTACTTTCTGGTTTCAATTTTTTCAACTGATGCATTGTCCAAATACAAAAACAATGTCCTAAGTTGGGAAGTGATTTGGGCTAAATGTGTTCAAGCTACTTCATAAATTGGGCATCCATGACTTGGGAAGGTGATTGACAGCCACTTCCTATAATAAGGCCGACCCTCCCATCAATTTCACACCTCTCATCCCATACCACCACTTGCCAGACAAGAGAGATTGAGATTCCTGTTTCTGACCACTATGATTGTGGTTCCATTTTCTAACCATGACGAATGACTCACTCTAAATTACTACTTTTCAAATCGAAGACCAAGTGTAACCAATGGTTGAGTGTAATGTAGCGGAAGTAAGTTTAATTTATCAATTCGCATGGCAAGTCTATTGTTACTTTGTGAACTATTTGTTATCTAGCTAATCAAGATTTGGTTTGAACTAACAACTAATAGCAAAACAATTAAAGATTGATTCGAATTCTATAGAGAGAATATCACTCAGGCATGCTTCCCTCTAGTCCTAAATTAGGTCGATGTTGACGTCCCTACCTTGCCCACTAAAGATTTATATTGTGGAGAGTCCTAAACCCGTTTGAACTCCTTATTCGAGTTATCCAAGCTCACTTAGGATGAACTATCCGGATGGAGAGTTTCCACATCCGGCAAAATAGAACACATATGACATGCAATTTAAGACTCCCACTAAAGGCTCTGGATCCAATACGACATTGTAGTCCAATGTCACACTCGTTCAATTGACCGACAATGAAGAATGCTCGAATAAACCTAATTGGATATTCTCTACCTTAGATTACTAACTCAAATGGGATAGTTTGATCAATACCCCACCAATTTAATGAAAATACTTCAATTCAATATATAATCAAGAGTGTAATCAAGCATAAGAATCATTCAACATCAAATCCTAACATAAAAGGCTAGAGTTTTACACACCCAAGTGAGAATGAGTCTACTCCATAGTGAGAGAAAGATATGGAATCACAAACTCAACAAGAGAAATCAACATCATGGGGATGAGTTCTTCTTCTAGAGCTCCAATCTTCACTCCTTAGTGGTAAATCTTTCCTCCAATCGAGGATTGAAGCCTTCAATCACCACTTAGGGATCCTTGTTCATCACTTTCTCTCTCTAGGAGGCTGCTCCTCCTTTCTCTCTCCAAAATTCATCTCCCTTAAAAACTGCCTTCATCTCCAATTACTCTTCAGCAGTGTATAATTCACGGTTGCATGTCACGGCCGTGACATTGGACAGTAAACCGTGTCGACCCAAAGCGTATTGTTTCATTAACACATGTCACAGTCTTAGTTGTCAACCGTACGTGACTTCTGCAAATGCCTGTGAACTATGGTTTGGCTCCTTAAACCTTGCTTATCACACGACCGCTTCTGTGGAAGTCACGGTCTGGCCGTGACTTTAGTGCTCAGAACAACAATTCTTCCCGGTTTGGACTCCAAATCGTTTGACAATTGTTCCTTTCGCCATATTCACCTACTAGGATCTAAAATATACTAAACCAAGTATAACCTAGTGTGGAAAGGGCTAAAGAACGACAAATCTTAAGCCAAAAGATCAAGGGAAGAGGGTGTAAACATGTATAATTAAGTCTGAATAAGCCATGATGAGGTCGAGCGGTGATTGGTGTATGATGATCTTGGCGCCCAAATTAATAAATGGAATGCATTGCTTTTCGTTCTTTCCTTAGGATGATTATGATGAGGTTGTGATTGCTTAGTTTGTTACCTAATAGCACGAGGGGTTCTATAGTGCTCGTATGTAATAACCGCGAGGAAGTAATTAAGCTACTCGCTCAGTTTATTAGTTGAACCCCGCTTGACTTCAGATTTGATGGTGTATGAGTGATAGGGTTGCAAATGAGCAAAGGTGCTCAAGAACGATTCGACGCACGACTCGAAAAAAGCTCGTTCCGTAACTTGACTCGTTAGTAAACGAGCCAAGCCTGAGCTCATCCTTGTTCGGTTCATGAGGCTCGCGAGCTAGCTCAACTCAGTGGCTAGTTGAGTTGAACTAATGAGTTGGCTCAATAATATGGTTAGCGAGCCAATTCGACTAGTGACTTATGATCGAATCAATATATACATAACTTATGATATGACTTCTTAATAATTCATACGTTTGTTAGAATATATAACCTATAATATATTATTATTTAAGACTTTGAGTATGTGACCAAATACGTCACATTTATAATTTTATAGAGAAATTATATATTAACAAATAATTAATTAGTTAAAAACTATGAACTAAATTATAGCAACATAGTATATAAACATGAGATCAATTAGTGATGAAATTTGACTATTATTCTTTTTTTATTGATCATATTTGTCATATATGACATACAAATATTATGGTAGTCAAGTGATAAATTATTTTAGAGTTTAATTTAAGACTTCAACCATTTAGAGATGAAATGAGTCGAGCTCGTGAGCTGATTGATGAGCCAAACTCAAGTAGAGCTCATGAGCTTCCAAATGGGCCAAACTCGAGATTAGGCAAAACTCGGCCCGACTTGGATCGTTAAGAAACAATTCAAGCTCAACCTTAGCAAAGCTCGACTAGGCTCATTTGTAGCCCTAATGAGTGAGTGAGACTTGAAGTCTGAGAATCCTGTGGCACTACACACTTTCACTATGGAGAATGGTTTGCCCCCTCCAAACTTCGTTTGTTGCGAAAAATTCTTTAGATATTTTATCATGTATGGTAGCTATAAGATGAATTGAGTTTGTTGATGTTAGATAGTTTCGATTTTTGTTGGAAGATTATGTTTCATATTGGTATGTGAACCGAGGAGATTTGAAGTTTTTGGATGTTGTATGTGATGTTCCGAGTTGATTAGCAAAAGAGATTCTTATTGGAAATGTGATTCGAGTTGGCTTGTGTTCATTTTGAATCGTACACCCTATTAGTATGCTCTTTGGTTGAACTAGTGAGTTCAATCCACAATGTTTAGGTGGGAGGGGGGTGTTATAATGAAAAGTTGGTCGAATGTCTATATTGTTCCACTTGGTAAATGGGAGTACTAGCTTTTGTAAATACTTATGAAGGTCCATTCTAAGTATTTGGAGAGAGGAAAAACTATTAAGTGTTGGTCAATAACATCTTTATTTTATGTATTACTCTAGCACTGGGTTGTTCCTGGCAAGATTGTGAAGTGTCTAGATTTCTTGACGGTGACGTCTTCAAAAGAGTGCACATGATTCTTCAATGGTATATGGTGCTACACAGAGGAAGGGGGTGGAAGCCATTGACGAACTCACTCCAATGATCAAGTTATATGATATTTTGGAAAGGAAAAGTCCAATTTAATTAGAGAGTCAAAGAGTAGAAGACAACGTGCTAGCAAGCAGTTCTCAATCTGATCCTTTCGTGGTTTGGTTTTCTATTAGGCAACCAAATGAACTACAGACCTACTAGCCACTAGCATAGTCTGGCTAGTAAAAAAAAAAACCCCCCGAACTGAAGAGGATGATCTCGATCTAGGCACAAATTGGATACCAGATGATATGGGGTGTATCCCAATTTCGAGTCCGATGGAACAATTATCATGCACATCTCAAATGTAAGGACCAAACCATTTTCCTTCCCTACCAATGATAATAAACCCTAGATTAATAATCTTGGAGTACAAGAAAAACAATATTTTTCGTATTGCATATTTCCTAATTCGAAACTCTAAAATATTAATTCAATTGAAGTAGTCATTCACCAAAAAAATCCATGTGCATAGGTAGACAAATATAAAAGCTTAATATGCAATCATGGTGAAAATCGAAAATGAATGAGAATAAATGAACAAAATCAATCATGAAAATTTTCCCCATGTTTATGACATTCACTTTTGTATGTATTTGATTAATTTTAAGTAGATGACACTCAAATAAGGTAGAACTAATTGTTCTTGCAACCAATTTGATTCAAATATCAATTTAATCCATTTTGTAGGAACAAATCATATTTGGCACTATGTTAAAAAAAATCATATTTGGTAGCCATCCTTTAAAAACTAATTTAACTAGCACCAATCCCAAAATTAGGAAGGAAACCATCTCACCGAAGAAAACAACAAGTGACGAAGTTGGAAGGAAAGCGGGCCGTTAACTTACGAGGGCGTAGGTACCAAAGCAGCCTTACCCGGCCCAGCCCATTAGACCCACAAACTCTACATGGGGAAAAGACCCGAAAACCCGAATCCGGAAAACAAAAAGTATCAATATATTTTTTTTCTTCTCTCCCCCAACCCAGAAAATTCAATCCCCAATTTCCCATACCCACCACCACCACCACAATCCACAATCCCCAAAATTCCCAATCCCATCAATTCATCCATCCCATTTCCCATCCCTTTTCTCCATGGTGGAGAAGACGAAGAAGAGAAGAGAGCCGCCGGCGGAGCAGATTGCTGCCTAAACCCACCAAACCCAGATCCCCAATCGCAGATCTCTCCGTTCCTCTCTTCTCTCTCTCTGATTCTGAGGCTTTTCCTCCCTCCAGCCCCCTTATCCAAATCCACCCCCGATGCGGCGACCCAGAAACCAGCCCGCCGCCGAGCAGATCGGCGCCCCTCAGGGCGACGAGATCAAGTTTCGAGGCGTCAGGAAGCGGCCATGGGGCCGATTCGCCGCCGAGATCAGAGATCCTTGGAAAAAGACGCGGGTATGGTTAGGTACCTTTGATTCCGCCGAGGACGCCGCCAGGGCTTACGACGCCGCCGCTAGATCTTATCGCGGCGCCAAGGCCAGGACCAATTTCCCGCTGGTCGATTCGCGGGTCTTTGTTGGCGGCGGCGGCGGGGGAGAGGATTTGATGGTCAAGCGTCAGGCTTGGACGACTGGGGAGGCGGAGGAG